TGGAAATTCCCAAACAACAAATGAATAGTAAAATTTCTGGAAAATTTTGAACTTCAAGGACAAGTTAGAATTTATGATGTTGGAACCATGTGCTGTTAGAATCATAAAAAATAAAAAACATGTGAAAAGAGTGTGTATTTTATTTTGGTATTTTTATTTTTGTTTTTTTGAGAGATTTTATTTTATTTTTGAATATGCAGAGGAGAAGTTAAGTTGATTATATTCGCGGCACTGTAATATACTATTCTGTTAATTTGATTTGATTCATTGTCTTATCTTAAAGGGGAAAAAAACTATGAGATAGAGATTCAGAGGTATTGGGGATAAAATGAATAAATCCAACACTTTTCTAGTGGGTGTTCAAGAAGCAGAGCACAGAGAATTAGAGGAAGATGGTATTTCAAAGGATAACATTGGGCATATTCCATAAATGAAAAATCACTCAACTCTTCAGGTAATCATTGTCTTAGTACCAGGGATCAGAGAAGGATCAGTATCCAGAGTTGCTACCATGTATCAGCTAAAGTGTCTAATGTTCAATCAAAAATTATAAGATATGGAAATGAATATGAAAAATATGATCAATATATAAGAAAGAAAGCAGCAGAAACTGTCTTGAGAGGATCCAGATGCTGAACATAATAAATATGGTCAAATAAAAAAACAAAGTGTGCTTGAAGAAGTATCATGACAATGTCTCACAAATAGGAAAATATTGATGAGACAAATTATGAAAAAGGACTAAATGTAAATAAAAAATAGAGTAACTGATGTGGATGTTTTACTATACAGTGTCAACAGTAGTTTGAACTAGTACAAGAATCAATGATTAATAGAGATTATGCAATATCAAGAAGAGAAAGAAAAAAATGAATAAAAAAGAAGAGAGCCTCAGAGAATGTGGGACATCTTTAAACATTCTAACAGGCATAGAAGGAGATCAGAAAGAAAGGACAGAGAAGAGAGGCAGAAAGGATATTTAAAGAAACAATGACTGACAACTGGTTTATCTGAATTATCACTCTGATGAACTGATGTTTAAGGAAGAATGAGAGAATATTGTGTTTAAAACTTGGGTCCTCTCCTCGTCACCATGTAATGAATTTGGACAGGATTATTTTAATAGAAAGTAATTGGGACAAACTGAATTAACTAAAATGTAAGTAAAAATAATAAATTATATATATATGATTTATAAGAAAAAGTAAAGCAAAGCTAATAGAATAAATAAATCATGCAAATTAAAACACTGATAGGGCATCATGTTATGGAAGAAAAAGGTATACAAAGTGACATTCATCCTCTTACAGATTATCATTTAAATCAACATAGCTACTTTGAAAATCTATTTATTAATAGTTTTCAAGAGCCCATAAGGACACAAATTCCTCAGTACATTTTTTTATTCAATAATGCCATGTTTTGGAGTCTCTCTCACATAAATATTTCCAACTATGCCTAAGTTACATATAGTTTTATTAACATAAGATTATATAAATATAAAATTATTGAAACCCCTTATAAGAATTTAGCAATAATATAATTGTTAAGTAAATTAAGGTATATTTAGTTTTCAATGTATTTTGTACATGTTAGTAGTGACTGAAGTGCAGACAAAAAATACGAAAACATTTATATGATAAGTTATAAATAAGAAAATATGACGTGTGTGTTACTGTGTTTTTCGAAAATATTAAAACTGGGAAAGGAAATGCAGCAAACTATGGGAAGTATTTGTGTAAAAGAGAAGGATTTCATTCTACATTTTGCTTAATGTATCTAAATTATTTTTATAACAAAATACTTTTAAAATTTAGACTTTTTATTCGCCTATCATAATAAATCAAAGGTTAGAAGTATTTTGAGAACCAAAAGACCTAGTTTCTCAAAGCTTCACAGCATAACATGTCTATGCAGAGCTGATCAATTTATTTACCCTTGCTCACTTGTGAGTATCTCCAAGTCTTTGGTTATAAAAATTCTTTCTTGTAGTATAACCTTGTGTTCTCTGTGCATCTAGGTGCTTATTTGGTTAGGACAAATATAGATTCTTGGATATCTTGCATGACTTCTTAAATTTCTCTGGGAAGTTCTCTGTTTAAAATTTCATTTATTCTTTGATTTGTAGATAGTTACTTAGAAACTCTAATTGTTTTTTTTTGTTGTTGTTTTGTTTGGTTTGGTTTTCAGGTGATTTTCAGACCAAATGTATTGATTAGTGAACTAAGGGACATGGTCTACAAAGGCCAGAGGTGTGCTCATTGTATTTTTTTTTTTTGTATTCTTCATAGTGTTAGTGTTCTGTAAATGAGAAATGAAGGTGCCTAAAATGTATAGCTGTGTGACATTCATAGTCTGAACTCTTAGGGCATATTGAATATCATCACTTGAATGAGATGATCACACAAGTATTTGTTCAGTAAATATAATGTATAGAATGATTATATTTAGTTCAGTAAAATGAACCCTGGGTAGGGGAGCGCCTATTTTAATCTAAATTGAGATATACATATAGTCAAGGATTTCTTTGACTAGAAATTCTGTTTCAAAATAGAATTAAGTCCATTTTCAATTGGTATCACTTTCAAGTTGTTTATGGGTTGTTCCAGTCTAGAGTAAACTGGTCCAGTGATGCCTCAGGGTTTTACTAGATTAAATGTTTACTTCTTATAACCACATCATTTTGTAGTTCATTTATTCTTTCCAGGATCTTTCAGTTTATCATGCTTTAGCTTTAGTCAACCTTTTTCTAAAGCTTAAATAATTATCTAGTCTTTACATACATATGCTGCTAGCCAGATTATCTCCAACTCTATATTATAAACACTAATGTTCTTTCATTTTTATATTACCAAGTTTAGAAGATGCGAGACTCTTTGCTTTTGCCTATCTGCCGACTAGATGACCAGTTATTGTTGTAATCATTTTGGTTGAATAAAGACATAAATGACTAAACATGTGTAAGACATTCACTAACTAAAATAATCTGCCTTTTCAATTTACATTCACATTCTTGTCCTAAAAATTTATATTTCTTGGTATTGTGGGCTCTTTTTATTTATTTATCCCTGGTTCTCCTAATACAACCATAGCAATTCTAGTTATGGTTGATTTACTGCAATTCAAAATACTGACTTGATTTTTCACCATGTCTTTGCCGTTCTATATTATTAAGGAAAAAAAGCTTCATTTTAGAAATATAGTCTATTTGGTCATACTTTAAAGAATTAATGAATCAGTTATTTAGATTGAATTCAAAACTTATATCCCCTGTGGAGTAATTATATGGCTTTTCGTCTTATGGCGTGGAAAAATAAAACAAGCTCAAATGCATGTACTTTGTATACTAAACAATGTCCACATACTGCTCTGAGTTAACCATAAATTCTCACTAGTGTTAATTAAAATTCTGTGGCAAACTTTATAAACTACTCATTGAACATGACCTTTGAGTCTTTGTCTTTGTCTTAATAAGGCCAATAGTTAAATATTTGCTCTTAAGTCTTAGATACCCTTGCTTCCTTTTTCACATTTATATCTTCTAAGTTTTACTAGTAAGATATAAAACTTCTCATTATTTTCTATAGTGAAATCTGTAGAAAATTATATGTCAAAAAATTTCTACCACATATTTATGCAGAAATGTCTAGAAGATCAGAACTAAAATGACCAGAAATTATACAGGCGTTAGCTGTTGTATTAAAGGGATGATATGGAGATGATAGATACACACTCTTCTTCATGTCTATAAGAGTTTTAATCTGTTCATTCATGGAAATGCTGTCTTTCTGTAAGTAGATTACCCCAATACTGGGTATACCAGCCAAGTGTCTGGAACAGTATAAGTTTTAAAGAAATTGTTGAACTTTATTAAAATCAATTTAAAAAGTAATTTTAGAACTTGAGAGCAAGTGATGGTAAAGCTATGAAATATCAGCATTTGTCTATATCAGTTAAGATAATGTTCAAATATATGAATTCTTTGAAAGTACTCTGTCAATCCACTTTTCTAAGCTTCCTTCAAATGAGTCCAGTATGTCTTCAGTTGTTACAACCTACACTTAGGAAGCACTAGTTGTATTTTAGGTGCTATGTCAGGCCCTAGAGAATACAATGAAAATGTCTGAGAGCTTGGAATCTAGAGAGACAGATAAATGTGTAAACAACTCTTAAGGAAGTAGGAAGCATTCTAATATAGGAATGAAGTGGTTCTAAGAGGACCAAAAGACAGGGAAGAGGAGGAGATGAAGCAAAATTTTTTGTTTGATTATGATGTTGAATACTTGACTGTCTAGGGTCTAAAAGGGACTAGTTAGTTTAGGCAGTGCAGGCATCATGTGTAAATGCATGGAAACATGGAGAGTAATGTCACACTTCAGTCATAGGGCATAATCTGCAGATGTTTATGAGATGAATCTCAGAAAGTAAAACTTGGAAACGAAGTTAAGCCATAATTAAAAATAAAGGATCCTTAATGCCTTGATCAGGAGTTTGTGTGTATACAATAATTCACGATCAGCCCATGAGCGGCTAAAAGGTATTTCAAAAGTAATTCTCTGTAACTTTCTGAACAATTGCAGGTGGGGTGGAGAGAAAGGCAGTTAAATAGAAGCATATCTTCTTGGATAACTGTTAAAATCACTACCTTATTTAATACTGTGAAATCTATAGAACAAGAAGACTCTTCAAATGTAATGAAAACCTGGACTAAATAATGTTTTTTCACCCTCTTAGTTGGAGAGATTTCTGAGATTTGCTCAGAAGCCACTGATTTTTTGTGCGAGGACAAGAAGTGTATTGCAGGCCACCTTGTCTGTGACTATAAGCCAGACTGCTCTGATAGATCTGACGAAGCTCACTGTGGTAAGTGTGTCTTTCTGGTTGAATGTAGTTGGTTTACTCAGATGTGTGCTTTGTGAGTAAAGAAACATTGGCTCTGAGGGCTGAGAAAATAAAATGGGTTTTTTTTTTTCATGCACAAGCATAGATTTAGAATCATGAAAACATTTCCCCCTACTTTCTTTTATAAATATCTAAATGGTAGTCTTCTCATTATTTTCTATAGTGAAATTTGGAGAAAATTATATGTCAAAAAATTTCCACCACATATTTATGTAGAAATGTCTAGAAGATCAGAACTAAAATGACCAGAAACTGAACTCTACCTATCTACATTTTTCATTTGTTTTTATTTCTTTTTTCATTTCTGTTTCCAAAAAGGTCTATTTTATGGTTGAAGCTAAAATGAGCTCATTAAATAAATATCAGTTTAGTAACTGATTTTATCAATTATATTGGACTAGAAGTACTCCACTCGTTTTTCTATCGAAACTTTTATCCAAGTAACTTTTTAAAAGTCTTGTATAAAATCAAATACATGATTGTAAAGTATAGGAAATATTTAAATCCAAATAATTTTTATGTATCTTAACTGATGAGCTCTCATATAGAATTTTGACCCTTACATACTACCTATTATAGTTATAATTTGCTGCAAAGAAGGCACCCTCAAAATAGTGGCCTCAACAGTAGTTTCATTTTGGGCTGACTATTGTAAATCAGTAATTCAGGCCAGGTGGTTGCTTTCCATTTCACATGATATGAGTTAGTACAGTGGGACTAGAAAAATCACCTCTGTGATAGCTGCTTCCCTTCCAGGTTTGGAACATTGGTACTCTTTGGTCTCGTCATCCTACTTGATGGGCATCTTGTTCTCCAGGGGTATTTTGTGTTCTTGGGGTTCCCAGAACATGACAGTTACAGAGGACATGTCAACAGCTATTATACACAGGACTAGATTCTTACTGGAGTTAGTGTTCTAAGAGCCCCGCAAAGAGCCTTTAACTTAGCCTTAGGTTTTCCAGGATGTACACCAACTTCATTCTAGTGGTCAAGTACATAACAAAGTCTAGCCTCAAATATAAGAGAGAAAATAGACTTCACTTCTCAAAGGGAAAATGTCATACATTACAAGAAAGGAAGAATTTTTGGAGACAAGTTACCACCTGAGTTTATTTAAATTTTTGTTTCTTATCTTACTTTTATTCCTTGGCATCTTATAGGGATGATGCTTCTGAAGGACTGACTTTCTTTCATGTTTCTTTTTTATGTATCTTATTTTTTAATTATATAAAATATATGTAACATAAAATTTGCTGTTTTAATAATTGTTAGTGCATGGTTCAGTAGCATTAAGTACATTTGTAGTATAGCGAAGCCATCACCACCATCCATTTCTAGAAATTATAAAATTTAAATTCTACCCATTAGCTAATAACTCCAATCCTCTCCCCAGCCTCTGACAACTAGAAATCTAGTTTCTGTCTCTATGAATTTGACTGTTCTATATACCTCATATAAGTTGACATATATAAAATTTGTCTTATTGTGACTGAATTATTTTACATAGTTTAATGTTTCCTAGGTTTATTTCATATTTAAATTTTAAGTGGATTTCTAAAAGGAAATAAAAGTGCTTGGCACAGGTTTGCACTATATAAGTACATAGCATTATAATGGTAATTTTATAAAATGTCATGTTTTTTATTTTTAAATTATTAAATTTATAATATACTGGACAACACTTTCTAGTGCTATTTCTAACTACTTTTAAAAGTACCAAATTATATATGCATGTCTACAAAAGTTAATTCCAATGAAGTTCTAAAAGAAAGGCCTAAATATTTGTGAAATCACCATTTTCTGCACAAATCCATAGCAAGTAGAGGATCTAGTAAACACTCATAAACAAAAAAATCTTGGACAATTTTTTGAAAATTCTTAAGGAAAATAATTTGAGTATGGAGGCATTGACATCCATAACCCAGTGAATGGAAAATGGCAACTTCCACATGTACATATAAGCTTATAATAGATATTATGTTGCTTTCACTTAAAGATGCACATGTATTGAAAGTATTTATATAAACTCAATATTTTTTCATTTATTCCTATTTATTTTATGTGCTAGGAACAACTTTCTAAGAATTGAGTACCTCAGAATGCATAAGATTTTATTTTAGGCTTCAAAAACTCACTTTATAATGTGGGAGGAAAAACCTAGGGGGAAAACGTATTAAAATATAATGTTCTTCAATTTTTAGTATATAAGTTGTTCATAGCTGAAAAGATTCCTGATTAATTTTAAAATACAGAAAATGCTGCCTATAATAAGGTTACTACCCCTTACTTGGCAACTACAAATGAAGACTAATATGAGTGCATTAGATGCACATATTTGTATATGTAATGTAAATATAGGCTTGAAAATAAAAGGAAGAATTACTAAGTATATTGGTTTCTCAAATATAAATGAGGCCCATTTTCTTTTTGCTTTTCTCATTTTTTCCCTTTCAGGCTGCTCATATGATTTTTATTTTTCCTACAGCTATTTGAGGTATTGATGTGAAAACACATAGGGGCGATTTTGATTTTCAGAAACTGAAGTCAATGACATACTTAAATATGCTTAGTTATACCCACAATTTTGATAGACTACTGCAGGAAATATTTAAGTTTATTAAAACAAAAGCAATATGTCATGAAAGAGAATAGTCACTATTCTTAAAAATCTCTTGATGGATTTTGTTCAGATCCATAAAATGTGCTACATAGCACATGTAGACAGGAGATATTAACTCTACCAATCGACTTCATCAGTATTTCATATTGATGTTCTTCTGGATGCATTATAGACATTAGATCTGAATTCCTGTAGCCAGATAGATCATCTGTTGTGAATAATGGAATGAGTGATCACATTTTCAAAATCATATTTAGAGAAATATAGGGAATGAATTGACTTTTGTAGTTATTAACCTGAAGTCTTCATTTTGACTGCAGTCCTCTCTTGTTAGGCAATTATTGTAATTCTCAAAGATTTCATTTTCCTCACCTGTGTGATATGTATAATAACATCTATCCAACACAGTAATGGATATACTAGATAAATGAATATATTGAATTAAATTAAATATTTGTTCAGTGTTCTGGAATGTATAATGTTAGCCGTTTCCAATTCATTTTTATATTCTTTCAAAATTTGTCAGTCAGATTTAACGTCTCACTTCTATGTTTTTTGTTACAATCAAAAAAGAAATGGTGATGTTCCTCAAGACTAAATTATTACTGTATGTTATCAACAAAGATAAAATTTTCTTTTGCATTTCTACCTCCTTTTTATTGCTATCTCCTTTTACATAAATGCATGGTCTCTAACAAATGAGATCAATTATCTTGTAAAAACCTTAATAATTAAGATAGAAAATCTGTTTTTTTCTCATGGAATTATTGTCCACTGCCTTTATTCAGTCATCATAGTGTTCCAGGTCAGTATGTGGACAGATGCCTCCTCTTCTCCCTTTCACAGCGTGGACAGATACCATTATTTAGTCATGTCACTCTTATCTACTATAACAAGATTCTTCCAAGTCTATCTCAATGCAGAGCTTCAGCAAGTCATTTTACAAGGAAAAATACTTTTCCCTAGAAGGCATGTTAATATCCTGTACCATGCATTATGGTGTGTTCAAAATGAGGTGACTATTGGAACATAAGGAATTAAAAATAATAAACTATGGAGCTATGCCTCTAAAAATATAAATTTATCAGTATTTGCACTGATCATATAGCCTTGTGTCCAAGTATTAAACCACTGGGAAAAAGCCAGTTGTGTTAGTAATGCTTTATGTCTATTTAAGGGATCATGATTAATATCACAATTGGAAAGTAAGTTGTTCCAAAGAAACTGCCACTTTGAAAAGACTGATATATATTCATTATCAAGAGATGTTATATTCTTCATATCATCCATCTTTCAGTGGATATTTATTGAACCACTTGTGGTATGTATAGTGCAGTTCAGTAATAATACCTGATCACATAGAGAGGTTTACAGTAGCTTAATGTTGATCAATTAAAATGACAATGCAAAATGAAGAAGCAATGGATTTCTACATATATGGTAACAACTGTAAATGCTGGGAAGTGTCTTATCCAAAAACCATCCTGAGTACTCATGTGCTCTGGGGAGGGAGAGATAGGGCTTGAGCTGAATATGAGATGAGTAATATTTGCTATTGAGCATATCGAGGAAAGAATATGTTAGTTAAGATGTCTTGGGCAGAATTTCTGATCTTGACCAGTTTAAACAACCTATCAGCTAAGTGCCTATTTGTCCCTTTATATTCCTTAAAAACCGAATGATTTTGTTGACACCATTGTGACTAGGAACAAAAAAAACATCATCTCCAAATTTTTTTCACAGCCACAAGAGGCCAATGAAATCTATATAGAAAGTTGAGAAAGTTATGTATTTCATAAAAATGAAGACTAGAATAGAAAAAAAGTTCTTTTTAAAAATCTTTCCTCTTTTTTTTTCTGTGCCTTGAGTCTGTGTGGTACTAGGAAGTACAGGGTTATCTTGCAACTAGGAATGAGCAGAAGGAGGAGAAGATAGCTCAGAGAAAGACCATGCAGTTAAGCCATAGTACTTATCTCAAAATGACAACCTGATGACTTTTTGTTAATTGAGAAAAATTAATTCCTGTCTGCTTATAGTTACTGTAACTTGGAGTTTTAGTTGTTTGGAGCCAAATGCATTTCTAACTAATACAGACAATAAGCAAATGCTTTATCTCAAATAACGAGAAACAACAAATGTATGGAATTGTACGGATGCCTGTCTTCTTTATGCTTCCCATCTTCAGGTAACCCACTTTGCTATAGAATTAGTTCCTTGTATCAGTTTTTATATCTGCAACTCTATCCTGAGAATAAACAAATAGGTTTTCTTCCTTTTGGCTTCCTTTTAAGAACAAGGCAAACTTTTCCTAGATGTCTTTTCCATAGTAAGTCTCATTAGCTAGACTTGCATTCCTAATCTGTATTTAAGTAATAAAGAGGACAAAAGAGAAATAATCTCATCACTGTGGGTTAGATTATCCATGTGCTTGAGTGAAAAAAAATAAGGGGAATACTTACATAAAAGTGCACCTTAGAAAAGATAGGGAAAGAATGCCTGTGAAATAGTAACCAAGCCAGATAAAATATCCGAGAGAGAGAAAGAGAGAGAGAGAGAAAGAGAGAGAGAGAGAGAGAGAGAGAGAGAGAGAGAGAGAAGTAGTCTGAAACATAAATGGTTTAAAAAGCAAGTTTATATTTAAGAGATAATCTTCTGAAAATATGAGTGGAGTAAAGACCATTTTGAACATGAGACAGATTTTATTCTAAAAATACTTTGCCTCAAAGTAAAGGTTATTGTATTTGTGAGAGTAGTTTCAGAAAGTGTGAAGAAAATGGAATATTTTCAGCAAAAAAAAGTAATGCAAGAGCAATCTTAAAGATGCTCATGTGGTTTGGGTTTGTAAGAATGATAGGATGAAGCCTGCACTAAAGACAGTCTCTTAAAATAAGCCACCAGCTTGAACCAGTGTGATGGTTACTGGATGATAATGGAGGGAACAGATTCAACAAGTTCTCAAGGAAAACCTATAGTTATTGGTGGAACATTGAAAATGGAATCATAGAATATAGAATCAATGGTGACTCTGAAGGTTTGCATGTTTAAAAAGAGATAAGACTCATGTTATGAAATGGAGCCATGATCTCATACAGAAGAACCTATTTGGAGAGGTGAACAATGAGTTTGTTTGGGGATTGTAGGTTTTGAGTGACAATTGTATATTCCAAGTAGAATGTATCTAAAAAGAATATTTAAAAAATAAAAACAATTTATCTTGCTAAAAAAGAATCGTTTGAAGATGTTATTTTGTTCTTAATTGTAGTTATAGAATCTTAGATCATCCACACAAAAATATAGAAGTTCATGGGAAATCATGAATGAGGATAAATATAAAGAGTGATAAAGTTAAGCCAGTAAATATATACATATATATATATATATATTATATATATAAAATATATGTGTGTGTACACACACACACACACACACACATATATATATATATGTATATGTATACATATATATATATATTGAACAAGGATAGCCTGACTGTGATTAAAAGATATAGAAAAGTTGTGTAACCTTGAAGGAATTAAAGCTATGGGATTGTAATAACAGTATTTTGATAAGGAGTTGAGATCATGGGCATATTTGGCTTAGAAAAGGGAAAAGGAAAAGTGACTGATTTTGAGATGGAGAAAATAAAATATGAGACTTTATTCTGATTGTTTATGTGTCTCTACAGTTGAAGATAAAAACACATGTTAAGTAAGGTGGGACAGGAGGAACAAGGGTGTTCTGGTGAATAAAGAAGGAAGTGGAATAATTTTCATAGAGTTAATGTGTCAGAGTTAGTTACATAGCAGTACAATAGTATACAACTTGTATGGGACATCATTTTAAAGAATGCATAACAGTAGTCTCCTATGTGCATTGGAAAATACTGAGTATTTACAGATGTATTGGCTACACACTGAGAGAACTGAATTTTTACTTATCTCCATAATATAAACTACTACATAGTATAAAATACTGGCATGACATACATAAAAATGCATAGAGTCCATAAATAAGTGTATAAAAATAAATGAATTATATAGTCATGTAGAATAAGAAGGATGTACATGATTAAAAATTAGTTTATTTTTTAGAGATTTGATGCTGTAATACTTAGGAAGTAGAATGTTGAAAATAAAAATCCTCTTGGGGATCCAGAAAAGTTCATATTAAAACAGTAAAGACTGTTTGGTATATGTTTGGCATTCATTTAATGACAAATTTTTTTTCTGATTAAGATTATGGTAACATAAGTTTTATGTTAAGAAAAAATGATGATGGAAAAAAATTTTAAATAACGTGAACTTCATCTTTTTAAAATGAAGGAAAAGTCAATGACAATCTCAGTAGATTCATACTGATTAAATAACCCAATCATTCATTCTGTCTATGTAACACAGTCAGATTTTACAGTGAGTGCTCAAAAATAATAACTGCTATGCAAAAAAAAAGAAAGAAAAATGAAAGCCTAGATATCAGGGTATTATTATGAAACTTTTCACAGACGACTAGGAGTATATATTCAGCGATCACCTATTAATTTTTCTCATTGTGAGCAATTTAATTTTTAATGAGTTATCAATCAATACTTTTAGAAAAAAATTTCTTTCATTATTTAGTGGATGGCTCTGAAATGTGTGCCAGTGATTTGTGTGGTACCCAATTGGGTTTATGTCCTGTACGCTTTACTACTTTTCTCAAAGGCGCCTTGTCTTTAGTAAATGACTACCTCTCTCAAGGTCTGTGCTATTCAAACACAAGACGCAACCCAGGGATAGCAATGAACATCTAAGTGATGGAAGCTGTTTATTTAACCTGAATTATCTGTACTATCATGATGCTATGTTCATTGTTTATGTGCAGACAGTTTTATCTGTCACCTACCAATATTGTTAGTCCATACAGGTAATACCTTAAGACATGACACTTTTCATGCACTGCTTCTGGATCCACTGATAAAAAAAAAAAAGTTGCAGTATATAACTGATATTATGCATGGGTGTGAATATTTTGATTGTATAAATGTATTTATAAAGAATTAAAATATACAAATACTAATATATTAAATCATCACAAAATATAGGGTCATTGGAATGTGATAAACATCTCCAGTCACTTCCATGAACATGTTTGTTTCACTAGGACTTTACACAAGTACAACAGGAAGCTGCAATTTTGAAACAACTTCAGGAAACTGGACCACAGCCTGCGATTTGACTCAAGACTCTGAGGATGGCTTGGTTTGGGACATTGGCAGTGAAATTTCTGCTGAAACTTTGAGTCCAGACTCTGATCACACACCAGGTTAGTCTAGTAGCAATACCTCGTCCACGTAAGCCTCTACTATGTGAACTTAAGAGGATATTTCTTGTGTTCATGTGGGGTTAGAGCCTCATAGGCTTAATGGAAGGAAGGCATTTCCCTTCTATTTTAACCCCTGAATTATTAAATAGACCCAAAACAGACATTTCACAGCAAGGAAGCCCAGGATTTATATTTTAAGAGGTACAGATTTTATTTACTCTACCCTAAAGATAGACACCTTTGGGACAGGCTTGGGTGGGTGGCATTCTAATTAATGGATTCAGTAGGTGAACAGACAGGCAATTGGCAATGATGAGAGTTCTCCTGCGGTCAAAATGGACAGTCAGCTGATCATTAGCTTCATCCCTGCCAGTCTGAAACACAGGAGTGAAGATGGACAAGGTAAGTGGTGATGGAAGGAATGAGCATCCACGGTATCTTGACACATTTTGCTTGCTGCTCTACAATATGAGAGTAATGCAACCTTTAACCGTTTTATTATCAGTGGACTCCAAGTAGAAGTGAGTTTATGATTGTACAGAGAAATCCCACAGACTCAGCGCTGAAAAGTGTAACTTTTTTTAGGTATAAATATATATGTTTTCTTTGAATAAAATATAGCGTTTCTTATAGATGAAAAATAGCCTAAGATATTTGTGGTAATTTTGTGTGTCAACCTGGAGGATATTTTTGAATAAGGTTAATATTTAAGTTTGCAAACATGGGGGAAAGCAGATTGCTGTGCATATGTGGCCTCCTATCAGTTGAAGGTCCCAATAGTATAAGAAATACCATCTTCCTCAGCAGGAGAGATTTCCTCAGTATACTCTCTGAGAATTTCATCTGTACTATAAGCTTGCCTGCTCATTCAGCACCAGTCCCCTCTGCAGATTGTGCAATCTCCAGACCCCCAAATTACCAGGAGTCTATGCCTTTTAATAAATATTTTTCTATGTGTGTATGCATACATAATATTGTACCCTAATACAATATTATTCAGAAAAACTGGACCACGGGTACAATGAGAAAGCAGAATTATGAAGAGCTGAAGTAACTTCTCAAAATAAAAGTATGTAACATTGGTTTAGCCATTTTATGACTAATAAAAGAACAAATTAATTTTATATTTATAACAAGATGGGTATTCTAATTCAGTGGGAATTAGAATTAGTGTCCTTCAGTACTTTTAATCAGTATTATTTAATTTGGTGCTGGCATATCTGGTGATCCACCTGGAAGGATAAGAAATTATGAATAAAAAAAATGTGGTATATATATACACAATGGAATATTACTCAGCCTTAAAGAAGAATGAAATTATGGCATTTGCAGGTAAATTGATGAAGCTGGAGAATATCATGCTAAGCAAATTAAGCCAATCCCAACAGGATGGTCAAAATAAGCCATGGAGAAAATGCCATTCAAAAAGACTGCAAAGAGGAAAGGAAGGGACTACAATCCCAAAAAATCAAAGGCTGAATGTTTTCTCTGATATTCAGATGTGGATGCTGATCCATAATAGGGGTGGGGAGCTAGGGAAGAATGGAGGAACTTTGGATAGAGCAGAGGGGAGTGAGGGAGGCAAGAGAGTGTGGAAGTGGGAAAGATGGTGGAATGAGTTGGACATTATTACTCTATGTACATTTATGTTTGCATGACTGGTATGACCCTATGTGACTCTGCATTGCATAGTTGAAATGAGAAGTTGTCCTCCTCTTATGTACAATGAGTCAAGAATGCATTCTGCTGTCATGTATAACTAATTAGAACAAATTTAAAAAGGAAATTAAACCCCAGTCCTTTGTCATATACATACATACATTTCAGATGGATTAAAGACTAGAACGTAACAAAAACAAAACACTTTGAAAGAAAAAAAAACAGAAAGTAATTATGTGCATTTTGAGAGGCAGGATCTACCTTCCAAAATTCATTAGTCAATTTCTAAAACCAATTTAGAAAGCATTCTGGCCACATTGAGACCTAAGAAACAACATATAATGATTAGTGTGTGAGGACATTGATTTTGGCATGTTTACAGTCAAAAGCTGGGAAATAAGTGAACGCTTCTCATATAATCTTTTGCGTTCCTTTGCTCAGCCGTGTGTCAAATGCCAGGCACTATTCTAGCTCCAAAGGATACATCAGTGAATAAAACAGATTAAAAAAAATCTCTACCGAAGCAGAGCTTGTATTCTGGGAAGAGTGAAAAAGATGATGGATAAAGAGAATAAATTATATGGCTTGTTAGCAGTTGAGGGTGCAAAGAAGAAAATAATGAAGTAGGGTTTGAAAGGCCAGAGTCTGCACCTTGGTTGATGAGTGCATTGTAAATAGGATGGTCAAAATAAGCCACGGAGAAAATGCCATTCAAAAAAAGACTACAAAGAGGAAAGGAAGGGACCACAAGTTTACCCAAGGAAAGAGTGTCCCAGCCAGAGGTAGATCAGACTGCCTGGTAGATGTCTCCAACTGGGGCTAGTGATGTTTGGGGCACTCACATGAATTGTTGAGGGCCTTCCTCAATGCTGTGTTTGGCATAATTCCTGGTCTCTACCAAGCAGCTGCCAAAAGCATGCATCTCTCTAGAGAGGGTCTTTACAAATCAAAATGTCCTTAGAAATCACCGGCTACCCTCTAGAGGACAAAATCACTCCATTGAGAACCTAGAATAGTCTAGAAGCAAAGGTCACTCATGAAATCCACAGCATGCAGTATCAAGACCCTGCTAAAGACAGTTTAGTCCCATACAATTGATTCATAGAGATTTTCCAGGGATATTGTCAATGAGTAAAGCAACATGAAAAAATGATCATAAAGTTTAATCCAATTTTTCTAAAGTGAATGACAAACATGTATTTATACATATGTATACATCTATCCATAAATATTTCCATTTTGATTATGCATGAAGAAAAAGAGAAAGGACACACACTTGTGTATTCACATGGATTACTTAGGTGGGTGACACAGTTGGAGTTGAGGAGAGTAGGAATAAATCCAAAAATAAGTAAATGAAAATAAGAATGTCATCTCAAAAGAAAATTTAGCATATATGGTGGCAATACATTGATGTACTTGTGAAAAGTGTGGTGAATATTTTTAAACATCGCCCACTGGAAAGTTTAAACATTTTATTCTCATTTTTAATATTTATCTTTTCTTCTGTATTTCTTTTTATCAGTTTTTTATTACTAAGTAAAATATTTTTTTTTCTAAATGTTTCAGAATACCCATAATCAGATACAAAGGAAAATTTTTCCTATAATCCTAGTGCAATGATATAACTTTTGATAGGTATTATTTTTGTATATACTACCATTCTTTTTTATGGATATATTTTCAAAATAAACCAGGGCTTTAATTTTAATAATTGAAAAAATATAGTGCAAAGAAGGTTGTATGTTGTGAATATTTGTAGTATGGTAGTTTTAGTTATAGTATTCTAATTTGGGGATAGACCAAAATTTATAAAATTATTTAATTAATTATTGAATAAGTAAACTAATTACTAATACTAGCACTATAGTAAACATTCACAAAAATGAATATATATTTAAATGAATTTTTTTTACTTTTATGGTAATTTCTGAGAATGCGTATGGGTTTGATTTCCTTGAGAAACTATGAAAAATAAGCCAATTTTCATTTTTGCTGCTCAGCTCCAGACAATAACCTGTACACACAAAAGCTGGTGTTCTTTACAATACATCTGCAATAATCTTCCCTGATCTAAGAAGGTACTTGAAAAGTAACATATTTCCACTAGTTTAATATTACTAATGGTACAAAAGTATTGTAAGCTCAGTGAGCAAAAGATGGTAGACAATAGATAAAAGAAAGAAAGTTCACACTCGATTTTCAAGGAGACAGATGAGTGATCGATGATACCTTTTAATAGAACTTATTAAGGATTATTAATAGGAGTATTTATTTTCTTTTTCAAACTTTATAGTTAGTGTCAGTTCCTTAAGTAGCACGTGAAAAGTTTTGAATCTGGTTATTTATGCAATATTGTATAACAATATGCTGTCCAGTGATAAAGAAATATCATCATTCCTACAGGATATTTTATTATCCTCCCTGTTAATCACTACTTGAGATGGTATATTTTTTAGAGCGCTCTCTTCAAAGCAGTTTGATTATATTGTCCTTGTTGCACAAATACTGCTCAATGAGCTTGTTGAAGTATCTCTGAAACAATGGGTTGCTAAATAAATTGTGAGGATACTAATTAATTTTGACCCTCTGGGAAAAACAAAATTCTTTATAAGAAGGCCAACAGATTAAAGAGCCTATGGTCTATTTCTGAACATCACAACATTATTGTTAATTAAAACTGTATTTATGGATCTTTTTACTTATTGTTACCAAGATGAAGAATTAGATACATAAGAAAGCCATTTTCAATGCCCATCTCAGGCCTGTTTACAAACCATTTTAGAGATATTTCCCAGCTGTAGGAAGAAATCACAAACATCAATCCATTCTGCAGTCTACATGTGAATAGCATTGATAGTTAATATATCCAAGATTTAATGGCAAGAGTGACATTTATGTGACATGAATACATGAAGGCATTATGCACAAGGCTGCTGTTTTCTTATTTCCCTTCCTTCACAATTTTGTCCTTTTTAATGATATAGTTGACCATCTCCATAATTGTACCATAAATTCCAGTTGGTCAGAAGTCATATCTGTGATTTTTATGTTCTCCCTAGCATTTAAAGTCAAATGGAGTCACACTTGATAAGTACTTTGTAGGTCACATGTGACTTGGATATATCCTCTTCCATATTGATTAGCGGCAAAGTATTTTGGATCAATTAATACAAGCATTTCCTTAGTGTCTACTAACTACCATGCACTGGTAGTTATGAAACCTGAGGGTATGGGTTAGCGTTTGAAAAATTTCTGAAATAGTTTGCTGTCCCATATAAAACCTGCATGCTCACTATTGTGCAATTTTGTATCCACCATCCAAGTTAAAAAATATCCCC